CTGCACACCAGCAACTCAATTAACCTAATTTCCCTTGGCAGAGGGCCAGCACGGCGCCCAGCGTCGCGGCAGCACTTCCCATCACTCGGAGGCCATTATTTTTCCTTTAATTTTTCCTCCCTTGCCTTCTTTGCCCGACGCTTTTGCAAATAGCGGGATGGGGGGGGGACAGGGAGCAGCTGGGGTGCAGCAGCGGGGCTTGAAAAGCGTGGATGAGTACCTTATAAAAGCATTTCCGACCTTCCCTTCCTTCTCTTCCTTTCTGGGTCTCGCTCTTACTCTGCAAACAAAAGGAGGAGCGAGCGATTTGCTTATCGGAAGTGTGGGAATGGTGGGGGGCAGTGGAACCCCACAAAGGCGATGGCTGGAACCCAGCCTGTCCTGCTCAGAACCAATCTGAAACGCTACAAAGCGAACAAAATAGTTAAGTTTAATCATCCAGAAAGAATTTGGCTGCCTTCGCTATTTCAAAACACTGGAGCATGTATAGCTTTTGCCAGAAAGTAAACAAGACCAAATGCCGCCTTTTCCCTCTCCCTGCAGTTCCTCTTCAGCAGAGAAATTCGGATTTGCTGTGCTCTTTAGCTCTTGTTTCTTTGATGGGAGCTGCAGCAGAGGGGGAGTAAAACCCAAGCGCGGGAGTTGGATTCTGCTGGATTTTCTCTCTTTTTCCTTCCCGCCGCCTCTCCTTCAATCCTTGCTCTGTGCTGACGCTCGCTGGAGGCAGCGGGGCAGCACAGGCGCCGGGTGAGGAGGGATGCAGCCGGGGATGGCTGGGACCCCCAGGCTGCTTTCGCCTCCTCGATCCCCTCTGTCCGTCGTGGGGGGACCCTGGTGCTTACACCTGCCGTCGGGGAGGGGGCGATCGGCCCGGGCACGGCACCTTTGTGTGTTGCAGCCGGCTTTTGGGCTGTTCCTGTGATACTAGCTTCACGTGTGGGTAGCACCTCGGTGTTGACTGAGTGGCAGCAACCCCCTGTTTTCCCCTGGGACGGTCCCAAATCCCTCGTTTGCTTGCTACCCCCAAGGCGATCGCCCTCGGTGCCGTCCCCGCACTGGTCCTGATCCCCAAACTCTCCTACATTTCCATTGCTCCCGTTGATGAGCAGTCATATAAACAGTGGAGGTTTCTCACCGAGGAGAATCTCCAGATGTCCCTAAAGCTAGAGCTCAACATAAACCAACAGATAAATATGGGAAGATGCCAAGGATGTTTGCATTGCAAATTGGCTAATTAGCCCAGACTCTTCCCCTGGGCAGAGGAGCGTCCTGAGGCTCTGCAGCTGGCCGGGGGAAGCAGACCCTCAGTGCTGTGCGTGCTCAGACCGTGGTAATGCCGGCACCCAGCAGCCCAAGAACGTCCTGGGGAGACCTACATGGGCTGTGGCGCTCTGCACCAGCCCAGAGACAGTGATTCGTTTCTGGTTTGGAGCCTGCTGCACCAAAACGTGCCAGCGTTGGTCTCGGCAGGAATGGACCTTGGGGTGTCCATACGGAGGAAGGTTTGCTGGGACCTCTGGGGTTTCCTGTGCAACGTCCTCATCGTGTGTCTGACAAGGAGCTTGGTGGATGTCGTTCTCACAGGGCACCTTCTCCGTCAGCATAGCTCGCCTCTTCTTGGTAGCCTCCAACAGCAAATAGCTCATACGCAGTGCGGGTTGGAGGAGTGTCGTGTATGGGTTCACCCCTAATTCCCATGCATGTGTGGGTTCACCCCTAATTCCCACCCAGAAAAGAGTGTCTCCATGGAAGAAAGTGAAATTGCTGTCAAAATGGGCATGGGGCGAAGTCTGTGACCTGAATTCTTTACTGGTGAAAAACGACTGCACAGGCACTTCTGTGATGACAGCAGCAGAAAATTTCCCCTAACACATCCAAATGAGGCGGAAGCCAGATTTTAAACGAGGTGGTAATGGGTAGTATGGAAATTGGGAAAGACAGAAAATAGCGCTGGCCGTGCATTAGCGGTGCAGAAACATGCATCCCACTAATGGAAGCAGGGATGGCTCATGGCACGTGTTTTATCTTATTTTTTGCTCCTCTGGGCTTAGAGACTGTGGCTTTTGGGGCAGGGATGACTGGAATT